ACTGGTGGCCTACTTTGGCTAGGGATGTGAGGGTTTATGTCTCCTCCTGCTCGGTGTGCGCCCAGTGTAAGGCGCCCCGACATCTGCCCAGGGGTAAGTTACAACCCCTGCCCGTTCCACAACGACCATGGTCCCACCTCTCGGTGGATTTTGTGACAGACCTTCCCCTCTCTCAGGGGAATACCACCATCCTGGTCGTTGTGGACCGGTTCTCTAAGGCCTGTCGTCTTCTCCCTATGTCGGGTCTTCCTACTGCCCTACAGACCGCTGAGGCCCTATTTACCCACGTCTTCCGGCATTACGGGGTACCCGAGGATATAGTGTCTGATCGAGGCCCCCAGTTTACCTCCCGTGTTTGGAGAGCGTTCATGGAGCGTTTGGGGGTCTCGGTTAGCCTTACCTCAGGGTACCACTCGGAGAGTAACGGGCAGGTAGAACGTGTCAACCAGGATGTGGGTAGGTTTCTGAGGTCGTATTGCCAGGGCCGGCCGGAGGAGTGGGCACGGTACATTCCCTGGGCCGAGATGGCCCAGAACTCTCTCCGCCACTCCTCTACCAACCTAACCCCCTTCCAATGTGTGTTAGGTTACCAGCCGGTTCTGGCACCTTGGCAGCAGAGCCAGATCGAGGCCCCTGCGGTGGATGATTGGATGAGGCGCTCGGAAGAGACGTGGAACGCTGCCCACGTCCACCTGCAGCGGGCCGTCCTTCGTCACAAGGCGAGCGCCGATCTCCACCGCAGTGAGAGGCCGGTGTACGCACCCGGAGATCGAGTCTGGCTCTCTACCAGAAACCTACCCCTCCGCCTGCCCTGCCGGAAGCTGGGTCGGCGGTTTGTGGGGCCCTTTAAAGTCCTGAGAAGATTGAACAAGGTGTGTTATAGGTTACATCTACCTGCTGAGTATAAGAATATTAACCCCTCGTTCCATGTGTCTCTTCTCAGGCCGGTGGTAGCTGGTCCACTCCAGGACAATGAGATAGCGGAGACTCCTCCGCCCCCACTGGACATCGAGGGGGCTCCGGCGTACACCGTTCGGTCCATCTTGGACTCAAGACGCTGGATGGGGGGTCTCCAGTATCTCGTGGAGTGGGATGGGTACGGCCCGGAGGAGCGGTGCTGGGTGCCGTGGAGGGACATCCTAGACCCATCTCTCCTGTCGGAGTTCCCCGTCTGAAGTTTGCCAATGAACATCTGAATGATTCAGAGGAGAACTGGGTGAAAGTGTTGTGGTCAGATGAGACCAAAATGGAGCTCTTTGGCATCAACTCAACTCGCCGTGTTTGGAGGAAGAGGAATGCTGCCTATGACCCCAAGAACACCATCCCCACCGTCAAACATGGAGGTGGAAACATTATGCTTTGGGGGGACGATGGACGGGGCCATGTACCGTCAAATCTTGGGTGAGAACCTCCTTCCCTCAGCCAGGGCATTGAAAATGGGTCGTGGATGGGTATTCCAGCATGACAATGACCCAAAACACATGGCCAAGGCAACAAAGGAGTGGCTCAAGAAGAGGCACATTAAGGTCCTGGAGTGGCCTAGCCAATCTCCAGACCTTAATCCCATAGAACATCTGTGGAGGAAGCTGAAGGTTCGAGTTGCCAAACGTCAAACCTTAATGACCTGGAGAAGATCTGCAAAGAGGAGTGGGACAAAATCCCTCCTGAGATGTGTGCAAACCTGGTGGCCAACTACAAGAAAAGTCTGACCTCTGTGATTGCCAACAAGGGTTTTGCCACCAAGTCCTAAGTCATGTTTAGCAGAGGGGTCAAATACTTATTTCCCTCATTAAAAATGCAAATCAATTTATAACATTTTTGACATGCGTTTTTCAGGATTTTTTTGTTGTTATTTTGTCTCTCACTGTTCAAATAAATCTACTATTAAAATTATAGACTGATCATTTCTTTGTCAGTGGGCAAACGTACAAAATCAGCAGGGGATCAAATACTTTTTTCCCTCACTGTACACCTCCAATTGACTTAAATGATGTAAATTAGCCTATCAGAAGCTTTTAAAGCCATGACATCATTTTCTGGAATTTTCCAAGCTGTTTAAAGGTATGTAAACTTCTGACCCACTGGTATATTGATACAGTGAATTATAAGTGAAATAATCTGTCTGTAAACAATTGTTGGAAAAATTACTTGTGTCATGCACAAAGTAGACATAACCGACTTGCCAAAACTATAGTTTGTTAACAAGACATTTGTGGAGTGGTTGAATAACGAGTGTTAATGACTCCAACTTAAGTGAATGTAAACTTCCGACTTCAACTGTAGCTTAGTACTACTTTCTTACCTTATTGTTACCCGTATGTTCAACTGTGCATCAAACAGGAAGACAGTGATTCTGTTTATTTTACAGAATGTGGCTGTCACACTCTGGTTCTAGGACTTTTTGTGTTTAGTCAGGGTGTGTAGATTTCCGTGTGTTGTGTACTGTGGGTAGTGTCTAGGTGTTCGCGTTCTATGTTTGGTCAGTGACTCCCAATCGGAGGTAACGAGTGTCAGCTGTCGGCTCGTTATCTCTGATTGGGAGCCATATTTAAATGTCTGTGTTCACCTTGTGGTTGTGGGTTTTTGTTCATTGTTCCGTTTCTGTCAGTTTAGCAGAGGACTTCACGAATCGTCGTTTGTTTTGTATTTACGTGCTTTACTTTATTAAAGTTATCATGTTCACTCAACGCGCTGCGCTTTGGTCCGTTCATTCATCAGACGATCGTGACAGAAAAACCCACCACAACGAGACCAAGCAGCAGTTGGATAACGAGTGGTGGAGCCAGAAGAGCGAAGGTTGGGAGAGGACTATGGAGGCCTGGTCCACCGAGAGGGGAGACCCCCAGAAATTTTTTAGGGGGGGGCTCACGACGTCGGGGCAGAAGGTGTACGGCCCGGAGGAGTGCAAGAGGTTGGCAGATATGGCCGCCAGTTTAAGGGGGCCACTGGTTACGAAGGGGATGGAAAGTGTGGAGGCACGGCGAGAGGTACTGGGGGGTGTTTCCAGTCCGGTCCGGCCCGTTCCTGATCCCCGTGTAGGGCCAGGGGTGTGTGTCCCCAGTGCGGTTCTGTCTGTCCCTGCTCAACGCACCAAGCCTACGGGGTGCGTCGCCAGCCCAGCTCGGCCTGTTCCTGCGCCCCGCACCAAGTCTGTGGTGCGTTTCGCCAGCCCAGCCCGGCCTGTCCCTGCTCAACGCACCGAGCCTACGGGGTGCGTCGTCAGCCCTGTCCAGCCAGAGCCGTCCGCCAGACAGGATCAGCCAGAGCCTTCCGCCAGACAGGATCAGCCAGAGCCTTCCGCCAGCCATGAGCAGCCAGATCCTTCCGCCAGCCATGAGCAGCCAGATCCTTCCGCCAGCCATGAGCAGCCAGATCCGTCAGCCATCCATGAGCAGCCAGATCCGTCAGCCAGCCATGAGCAGCCAGATCCGTCAGCCAGCCATGAGCCGTCCAGCCAGGATCCGCCAGAGCCGTCCAGCCGGGATCCGCCAGAGCCGTCCAGCCGGGATCCGCCAGAGCCTTCCAGCCGGGATCCGCCAGAGCCTTCCAGCCAGGATCCGCCAGAGCCGCCCAGCCGGGATCCGCCAGAGCCGTCCAGCCGGGATCCGCCAGAGCCGTCCAGCCGGGATCCGCCAGAGCCGTCCAGCCAGGATCCACACACCAAGCCAGGGGCGCGTGTCGTCAGTCCGGTTCCGGCCAGCGGGGCTAGGCAGGACCAGGGGTACTTTGGGGGGTTGGAGAGGAAGTGGGGAGGAAGCCCGGAGCCGGAGCCGCCGCCGAGGAGGAATGCCCACCCAGCCCTCCCCTGTTTGCTTGTAGTTAGGCGCGGTCGCAGTCCGCGCCTTTGGGGGGGGGGTACTGTCACACTCTGGTTCTAGGACTTTTTGTGTTTAGTCAGGGTGTGTAGATTTCCGTGTGTTGTGTACTGTGGGTAGTGTCTAGGTGTTCGCGTTCTATGTTTGGTCAGTGACTCCCAATCGGCGGTAACGAGTGTCAGCTGTCGGCTCGTTATCTCTGATTGGGAGCCATATTTAAATGTCTGTGTTCACCTTGTGGTTGTGGGTTTTTGTTCATTGTTCCGTTTCTGTCAGTTTAGCAGAGGACTTCACGAATCGTCGTTTGTTTTGTATTTACGTGCTTTACTTTATTAAAGTTATCATGTTCACTCAACGCGCTGCGCTTTGGTCCGTTCATTCATCAGACGATCGTGACAGTGGCTGGCCATTCAGACATTTAACAAGCAACTCTAAAGCCTCAAACTATGTCCAATTGTTTTAATTTTTCTCAAAGTATTACTTTATTAATACCGCTATATATACTACACCCACCTCTATATGTATTTGACAGTGAAGCTACAATTTTACATTTAGCTCTATACTCCAGCATTTTCGATTTGAGATCAAATATTTCATATGCGACAACAGTACAGAACGTCACCTTTTATTTGAAGGTATTTTCATACATATCTGTTTTTTTACCGTTTAGAAATTAAGCACTTTATGTATCTAGTCCCCGTTTGAAGAAGTCATAAGTATTTGGACAAATTCATTTATAATGTACTAAAGTGGTCAAAAAGTTTAGTATTTGGTCCAATATTCCTAGCGCGCAAACCTGTTGGATGCATTTGCAGTTTGTTTTGGTTGTGTTTTGGGTTATGTTTTGCCCAACAGGAACTGAATGGTGAATGGCTGGAGTAATTTTCTTTCTAAGTGAGTAGATAAGATGTTTTTTGAACACTTCTAAATGAATCCTGATGATAATGCCATAATTAAGAAAAATCATGAATTAATCATGAATAATGATGAGTGAGGAGGTTACAGACACTGCTGCACACCCAGGTACATATTTCTTGGGGAAACACTTGTATGTATGAAACGTACATCCTGTGTGACTTGTATGTGCTCTTAATACAGAATTTGAACGAATCACTGATCAATCATTGTTGTACCACCTCCAGAACACCAGCCTTCTGAACACCAAAGAAGAAGCTGGAGGCTGACATGGTGCAGGTGCAGCGGGAGGTGGACGACACCGTCCAGGAGGCCAGGAACGCAGAGGAGAAGGCAAAGAAGGCCATCACTGATGTAAGTCCTCATAATATGTGACCTATTCCAGTGTTCCAGAAAACATATCTCAGAGACTTGGATTCTTGGGTAGCACTGTCCTCCTGCCCTCATCACCCCAATCCTGTTTATCTACATTCCACGCTCACCTGGAGAGGATGAAGAAGAACCTGGAAGCTACAGTCAAGGACCTGCAGCATCGTCTGGCTGAGGCTGAGAACCTGGCCATGAAGGGTGGCAAGAAGCAGCTACAGAAACTGGACTCCAGGGTGAGTTAGCAGGGACTCATTCTGAAGAATGAGATGGATGCCAAGCAGAAGAGAGGTAGAGATGCCGTCAAGGGAGTCCGCAAAAATTAGCACAGGGTCAAGGAGCTCACTTACTGTACCATGTAAAAGGGACACACCATCATAAACCCTTAACCAAGACTGGCGTTTGTAGTCTGGATCTGAGTGTGGGCAGTGATACATGGATGTTCTCCCCCCAGACTGAGGAGGATAAGAAGAACATCAATAGACTTCAGGACCTGGTGGACAAGCTGGAGCTGAAGGTCAAGGCCTACAAGAGTCAGGTGGAGGAATCTGTGAGTAACAAAACTTCTGAGACCATATCTGGAAGTTCTGTCTGACTGTTCTAATGTTGAGCTGTCCTGATAAACCCCTGGTGTTGTTCCTCTATCCCCTAACCCAGGAGGAACAAGCCAACCAGCACATTTCCAAGTTCTGTAAGGTTCAGCATGAGCTGAAGGACACTGAGGAGCACGCTGACATTGCTAAGTCCCAGGTCAACAAACTCAGGGCCAAGACCCACAACTCCAGAAAGGTACAGAGCTGCTGATCAACACACACTTGAACCATGTCCAATTTCCACAGCGGTAAATAAATATAATTCAAGTTGACCAACAAAGGCAAATTCAAATGTTGGCTATGCAGAATATGTTAAGAATGAAAAGCTGTATCTTGACTTTGATTTGTTATTTTCTTTCATGATACAGGGCAAGGCAGAAGAGTAAACAACACAGTTTCTGTACAGAAGAGTTCCTATGTCTCATAAAATATGATTTTCATAGTAGAATTCTGAGCATTAAATAAATGAATGAGAACTCTATTGAGTTGTGGTGTTGTGTTTTTAATCTACTGGACTGCTAGTGTGGCAGTGTCTAGCTACCTCTGTAAAAATAAGTGACTTTATCTTTTGGAACTTCATTTTGAGAAATTGGGAGGGATAATATGTGCTCCCTTGCTCCGGAATGCATCTTCAAACTACCGAGGACATCTAGAGCTTTGTCATCTGTATCATAATGTATGACAATGGCATCATTTCAGCTTAACTGTGGCAGACTGAAGTCATATCAAGACAAAAAAAGTGTGATACCCATGAAAATATGCTTAATCTGACGCATTCGATTAGTGAACATTAATAAAGTATGAAGAAAGCATAAATACAGCATTTATAATGCATACAAAAAGCATGAAGAAAGCATTTTCCAATTGTTTTGCTTACAATGGTCAGACTCAGTAGAAAACAGACTCCGTAGACTGAAATTATTTTAAATACTTTATTCATCAAATGTTTTTTGTCTCCAGTACAATAGGTGAATGTTGAACTGCACAGGATGATGTACAGTTGTGGGACTGTACTGGAGGACCCAAGCTAGGATCAGACTTAGTAGGTGGCCATGGTGCTGGTCAGCCAGTCGTTGAAGATGCACACCTGGAGGAAGAGAAGGAGAAGGGAGACATCAGTAGACACAGGGCCAAGTTACTGTAGACCTGGGATAAAGTTGGTATTATTGAAGTTAGAAACATGTAGTTGTGACAGGGATGAACCAGTGGTCTAATAAAGGAATGCTGTCACAAACCCATTATAGTATTTACAGTGGGGGAAACAAGTATTTAGTCAGCCACCAATTGTGCAAGTTCTCCCACTTAAAAAGATGAGAGAGGCCTGTAATTTTCATCATAGGTACACGTCAACTATGACAGACAAATTGAGAAAAAATAATCCAGAAAATCACATTGTAGGATTTTTTATGAATTTATTTGCAAATTATGGTGGAAAATAATTATTTGGTCACCTACAAACAAACAAGATTTCTGGCTCTCACAGACCTGTAACTTCTTATTTAAGAGGCTCCTCTGTCCTCCACTCGTTACCTGTATTAATGGCACCTGTTTGAACTTATCAGTATAAAAGACACCTGTCCACAACCTCAAACAGTCACACTCCAAACTCCACTATGGCCAAGACCAAAGAGCTGTCAAAGGACACCAGAAACAAAATTATAGACCTGCACCAGGCTGGGAAGACTGAATCTGCAATAGGTAAGCAGCTTGGTTTGAAGAAATCAACTGTGGGAGCAATTATTAGGAAATGGAAGACATACAAGACCACTGATAATATCCCTCGATCTGGGGGACACGTCTGCAGTGCCAGACGTGTCCCCCTGCTTAAGCCAGTACATGTCCAGGCCCGTCTGAAGTTTGCTAGAGTGCATTTGGATGATCCAGAAGAGGATTGGGAGAATGTCATATGGTCAGATGAAACCAAAATATAACTTTTTGGTAAAAACTCAACTCGTCGTGTTTGGAGGACAAAGAATGCTGAGTTGCATCCAAAGAACACCATACCTACTGTGAAGCATGGGGGTGGAAACATCATGCTTTGGGGCTGTTTTTCTGCAAAGGGACCAGGACGACTGATCCGTGTAAAGGAAAGAATGAATGGGGCCATGTATCGTGAGATTTTGAGTGAAAACCTCCTTTCACCAGCAAGGTATAGAACAGCGCCGGAGAAGATGGCTGCCGTTTTACAGCCCTCTAACCAACCCTCTAACCAATTGTACTATTATGTGTGTTTTTCCGCGTTATTTGTAATTTATTTTGTACATAATGTTTCTGCCATCGTCTCTTATAACCAAAAAGAGCTTCTGGATATCAGGACAGCGATTACTCACCTCGCATTGGACGAAGATTTTTTCTTCAACGAGGCGGCCGCGAAGGATATCACACAGACACCCGACAAGGCCCAAATCCCCGTCATTCGCGTGAGGAAGAGACGGAGATATCGCGGACGCAGATCCGGATGCCTTATAAGGATCCGACGGCGAGCGAGTAAACTGCCTCTTCCATCAATCCTATTAGCCAACGTTCAATCTTTTGAGAATAAAATGGACGATTTAAGATTACGGTTATCCTACCAACGGGACATTAAAAACTGTAATATCTTATGTTTCACGGAGTCGTGGCTGAACGACAACAATGATAACATTCAGCTAGCAGGCTATACGCTTCATCGGCAGGACAGAACGGCTGACTCTGGTAAGACAAGGGGTGGCGGTCTGTGTATATTTGTAAACAACAGCTGGTGCACAAAATCAAATACTAAGGAAGTCTCGAGGTTTTGCTCGCCTGAGGTAGAGTATCTTATGATAAGCTGTAGACCACACTATTTACCAAGAGAGTTTTCATCTATATTTTTCATAGCTGTCTATTTACCACCACAAACCAATGCTGGCATTAAGATTGCACTGAATGAGTTGTACAAGGCCATTAATCAACAGGAAAACGCTCATCCAGATGCAGCGCTCCTAGTGGCCGGGGACTTTAATGCAGGGAAACTTAAATCCGTTCTACCTAATTTCTACCAGCATGTTAAATGTGCAACCAGAGGGAAAAAAACTCTAGACCACCTTTACTCCACACACAGAGACGCATACAAAGCTCTCCCTCGCCCTCCATTTGGCAAATCTGACCATAACTCTATCCTCCTGATTCCTGCTTATAAGCAAAAACTGAAGCAGGAAGCACCAGTGATTCGGTTAATAAAAAAGTGGTCAGATGACGCAGATGCTAAGCTACAGGACTGTTTTGCTAGCACAGACTGGAACATGTTCCGGGATTCTTCAGACAGCATTGAGGAGTACACCACATCAGTCACTGGCTTCATCAATAAGTGCATCGATGATGTCGTCCCCACAGTGACCGTACGTACATACCCCAACCAGAAGCCATGGATTACAGGAAACATCCGCACTGAGCTAAAGGGTAGAGCTGCCGCTTTCAAGGAACGGGACTCTAACCCGGACGCTTATAAGAAATCCCGCTATGACCTCCGACGAACCATCAAACAGGCAAAGAGTCAATACAGGTCTAAGATTGAATCATACTACACTGGCTCTGACGCTCGTCGGATGTGGCAGGGCTTGAAAACTATTACAGACTACAAAGGGAAGCACAGCCGCGAGCTGCCCAGTGACACAAGCCTACCAGACGAGCTAAACCACTTCTATGCTCGCTTCGAGGCAAGCAACACTGAAGCATGCATGAGAGCACCAGCTGTTCCGGATGACTATGTGATCACGCTCTCCGTAGCCGATGTGAGTAAGACTTTTAAGCAGGTCAACATTCACAAGGCCGCAGGGCCAGACGGATTACCAGGACATGTACTCCGAGCATGTGCTGACCAACTGGCAAGTGTCTTCACTGACATTTTCAACATGTCCCTGACTGAGTCTGTAATACCAACATGTTTCAAGCAGACCACCATAGTCCCCGTGCCCAAGAACTCTAAGATAACCTGCCTAAATGACTACCGACCCGTAGCACTGACGTCTGTAGCCATGAAGTGCTTTGAAAGACTGGTCATGGCTCACATCAACAGCATAATCCCAGAAACCCTAGACCCACTCCAATTTGCATACCGCCCCAACAGATCCACAGATGATGCAATCTCTATCGCACTCCACACTGCCCTTTCCCACCTGGACAAGAGGAACACCTACGTGAGAATGCTATTCATTGACTACAGCTCAGCATTCAACACCATAGTGCCCTCTAAGCTCATCACTAAGCTAAGGATCCTGGGACTAAACACCTCCCTCTGCAACTGGATCCTGGACTTCCTGAAGGGCCGCCCCCAGGTGGTAAGGGTAGGTAACAACACATCTGCCACACTGATCCTCAACACGGGGGCCCTTCAGGGGTGCGTGCTCAGTCCCCTCCTGTACTCTCTGTTCACCCATGACTGCATGGCCAGTCACGACTCCAACACCATCATTAAGTTTGCCGACGACACAACAGTGGTAGGCCTGATCACCGACAACGATGAGACAGCCTATAGGGAGGAGGTCAGAGATCTGGCCGTGTGGTGCCAGGACAACAACCTCTCCCTCAACGTGACCAAGACAAAGGAGATGATTGTGGACTACAGGAAACAAAAGAGGACTGAGCACGCCCCCATTCTCATCGACGGGGCTGTAGTGGAACAGGTTGAGAGCTTCAAGTTCCTTGGTGTCCACATCACCAATGAACTATCATGGTCCAAACACACCAAGACAGTCGTGAAGAGGGCACGACAAAGCCTATTCCCCCTCAGGAGACTAAAAAGATTTGGCATGGGTCCTCAGATCCTCAAAAAATTCTACAGCTGCACCATCGAGAGCATCCTGACTGGTTGCATCACCGCCTGGTATGGCAACTGCTTGGCCTCCGACCGCAAGGCACTACAGAGGGTAGTGCGTACGGCCCAGTACATCACTGGGGCAAAGCTTCCTGCCATCCAGGACCTCTATACCAGGCGGTGTCAGAGGAAGGCCCTCAAAATTGTCAAAGACTCCAGCCACCCTAGTCATAGACTGTTCTCTCTGCTACCGCACGGCAAGCGGTACCGGAGTGCCAAGTCTAGGTCCAAAAGACTTCTCAACAGCTTCTACCCCCAAGCCATAAGACTCCTGAACAGCTAATCATGGCTACCCGGACTATTTGCACTGCCCCCCCACCCCATCCTTTTTACGCTGCTGCTACTCTGTTAAGTATTTATGCATAGTCACTTTAACTCTACCCACATGTACATATTACCTCAACTACCTCAACTAGCCGGTGCCCCCGCACATTGACTCTGCAACGGTACCCCCCTGTATATAAAGCCTCCCTACTGTCACTTTATTTTACTTCTGCTCTTTTTTTCTCAACACTTTTTTTGTGGTTGTTTTATTTTTACTTTTTTTGTTTAAAATAAATGCACTGTCGGTTAAGGGCTGTAAGTAAGCATTTCACTGTAATGTCTGCACCTGTTGTATTCGGCGCATGTGACCAATAAAATTTGATTTGATTTGATTTGAAGGGCATTAAAGATGAAACGTGGCTGGGTCTATCAGCATGACAATGATCCCAAACACACCGCCCGGGCAACGGAGTGGCTTCGTAAGAAGCATTTCAAGGTCCTGCTCTAGAGGAGATCTGCATGGAGGAATGGGCCAAAATACCAGCAACAGTGTGTGAAAACCTTGTGAAGACTTACAGAAAACGTTTCACCTGTGTCATTGCCAACAAAGGGTTTATAACAAAGTATTGAGAAACTTTTGTTATTGACCAAATACTTATTTTCCACCATAATTTGCAAATAAATTCATTAAAAATCCTACAATGTGATTTTATGGATTTTTTTCTTCACATTTTGTCTGTCATAGTTGACGTGTACCTATGATGAAAATTACAGGCCTCTCTCATCTTTTTAAGTGGGAGAACTTGCACAATTGGTGGCTGACTAAATACTTTTTTTCCCCACTGTATTTGAAACTACATGATGCTTTATCCCACAAATTTTGCAGCAGAAGCCTATATTCTTACCTTGGCGTAGACACCGGGGTTACCGGGCTCGGCACAGCCATATCCCCAGGACACAACACCCTGCAGCTCACCGTTGCACACCACGGGGCCACCGGAGTCACCCTGAGAGAGAGAGAGAATGAGAGATTTACTTCACTGTTTCTCTGTACTGTATTTTTGGTCCTAATAGTTTTGATAAGCTGGTCAGAGGCAGTAGTAGAGCAGGACTAGCCTCTACAGGTCAGTGCTGTTCAGTACCTGGCAAGAGTCCTTGCCTCCCTCCAGGAATCCAGCGCAGAACATGGCATTAGTGATCTGACCAGGGTAGGAGTTGTCACAGTCTTTGAAAGACAGGATGGGGAGGTTCAGGCACTGCAGCTTGTCGCTATCGGCGGCTGTAAGGATGGATGAGAAATGAAATAATGGATAGAAAGAAAGAAGGGGGAGTGAAAGGCAGAACATGTCTATTATGTATCATTTACATCTGAACACTGGCAATGGTTACCAGACCAAGTATATTTTATAACCTAGCCCCAAAATACATGAAAGTATTGACGTTGGTGCTGTACTCACTGGAGCTCATGGTGTTTCCCCATCCAGAGACGACACACTTGGTGCCAGCGGGGGCACAGCTGGTGGGCAGAGCAACAGGCTGCACGTAGGTGTTGAGGGTGGCGGGCTTGCTCAGCTTGATCAGCATGATGTCATTGTTGATGTTGTAGGAGCTGTAGTTGGGGTGGGGGATGACGCGGGAAGAAGAGATGAACTGCTCGCTACCCTCAGTCCTGGCAATGTTGTGCTCGCCCAGACGCACCTCCACACGGCTTTGGGTGAAAGAGAGAGAGAGAGAGAGTTGAGAGAAAGATGGAAAGGAAAGTATTTTATCAGTTGATGGTGTTCTGTGCTGAGCCTTGGGGTGCAAGTGAAGTGAGCTGCATGATATACTGTAATCTGGAAAATCGGATGTTGTTAAGCCATGACAGACATGTAAAGTAAATAAATGGCCTTGCAAAAGCCTTGGCGTGTGCGAGCCGGAATGGCTCATAAGAGCAGGAGCCTATCTCCTCTTTCTGTAGCGTGAGGCAGCTTGATGTACCAGTACACATATTGAATGTATTAATCAAATGGAAGTCTTACTCATCTATAAGCACATAGGATACTCCATGTACAGGTATGTAGTTTACTCACGACATGTAGCAGTGAGCAGCAGACACAACCCAGTTCTTGTTGACCAGGGAGCCACCACAGAAGTGGTACCCAACGTTCAGAGACACCTGGTGGGGCTGGGAGTAGGGCTTGCACTCGTACCCTCCAACGATCTTGTCGTCCTCCGTGGAAACTAGAAACAGAGAGAACTCTCAGTTAGCATTGACACAGTGCCTCACCTTTCGAGATTGTTAAAAACATGATAATGACATTGTAAAGTTAAACTAAAAAGAATGATAGTTGTTTGATATCTCTAAAAGACAATATATTTTTTACAAACAAGAGGAAAGGTTAGACAAACTTTTGTGCCATGACCCATCTACTTCATTTGTAGATGTTCTGATTGTATGGGAGTATGTATCATATACTCACAAGCGGCTCCAATGAGCAGAATGAAGACCAGAGAAATCATGGTTGCTGTATGATCCTGTCAATGAGTGAGGTTCACCTGCGCCCCTGCTTTATATACACACTCAGAAGTGCTGCCCCAGTTCCAGGGCAACATCATTGGTCAGTCAAGAGCCAATCAGCCATAGGACGATACTGTAAGATTAGGTGATTCCTTATCAGTTAGGCTTTCCATACATTTTTGGGGGCCAGAGAGCCATGTAGATAAGGCTGGGGTTAGAGTTGGAGTTAGGGATGGGGTTGAGTCAGGTGTTGAACATAAGGCAAGCGTCATAATAGTCTCACCACTGAGTTTATACCCAATCAGCCATAGGACAATAACATTAAGTGATTCCTTATCAGTTATGTTTTCCGTAAAAAAAATTGGGTCAGAGAGCCAGCTAACAAACTGAATTACTAATATGTTCCAAGATTGTAGCCATTCCAATTATGTGTGATTGCCTACACACTTCTTTATAATGTCAACCAAGAGCCTCCTCTTTCTGACATTCCATCAGCAGAAGCGTCTCAGTGGCACCGCTTTAAGTGATAAATACCATGTATTCAATCAAGTTCTTCATTTTGGTTCCAAGTTAGTGTTTACAGTTAGTGATGACCTTGTGATTGATCACACTTAGCTACTGTTTTGATTCTAACCCAAATTCGTTTTGTTTCTTCTACTTAAAAAGCACTTTTTTGATACAATAACAGTTGTAATCTTTGTTATTCTGAAGGTCTGCCACAGTTCAATCTAATTCTACATGAATTTACAATTTTATAAATTCATAAAATGTATGTAGGTTGTCTTTTTTTGTCTTTTTATTTTTGCCTACGTAGAGCCTTGAGATGAATCTCTAATGAGAAAACAAATATGAAAAAAAAATATATATTATTATTTTATTATTGCTTATAAAGTGGTATTAAATCATATTTTCTAAAAATAATCATTTTGGTTTAGGAGTAATGTATGTTCTGTTCTGTTCTGTTCAAACCCATACCATGGTTCTTACATGACCATAGTGTGTCACAGCTGTATGTTTCTCATCCTCTAGTGTTTGCATGGAAAAGTCAACACATTTAGAACTGGCCCAAGGTTGTGGCATGTGAACACATATGTAAAACACATGCAGTATGTTTTATATGTGAACTCAAATGCAAAACAAATGTAGTATGCTTTACATGTTGGTTACTCTTTACTTACCGTGTAATTATTCCTGTAATTACAGTGTAACACGTATTGTAATTGTTAAACATTGTTACATTGTACCTACTGTACACTGTATTTAGGATTACATAGGGTTAGTGTTAGGGTTAGGGCTAAAGTTAGGGTTAGGCTTAGGCTTACTGCTGTAAGTACATTGTAACTCATAGTTAATAATGAATAATTATTAGTAATTTATAATGAATAATTATTCATACTTAATGCAGTGTAATTACATGAGTAATTACACAGTAAGAAGGGCACTGTAATGTAAAGTATTACCTTTGTAGTGTATAATAGTGTACAGTTTGGGGAATTTTGAAAAGTGGCTTTTCAAAATTCCTTTACAGCAGCAAGGTACATTGACATCATTAATGTGGAAAAACTCACAAGGTGTCGCCAAGTGCTAAGTTCATTAGCAATCATCTAACAATAACCCATGTTACCAATGGCACTTTGAGCTCAAAGAGTAAATTATTCTCAACACATTCTACTATAGTACTTCTTATGAATTCACAATGATGACTCATTCACGTATTCCTTCAAGTCATTACATTAGCGATACTGTTGTGACTGGGTACATCTTTAAGAATTAATTAAAATGTGTAATTCTGTTACCAAATTATTGAAAGAAAAGAGACATTTGCAGTGTACAAACTTAACATGATGAACAGCAATTGCATTTACTCTCATGGACCAAAAATAACTATCTGAAAGCCACATCCAATATGCCGCGTCTCCTGAAAATGACCAATTACCCAAACATCAGTTTGGTTTTTATTCACTTTCATGCTGGGTCTTTTTTAATGTAATCCATAAATTAAGGAGGCCTTTTGGGGGCATGACTTTCAGATAGTTCTTCTTGGCCACCCGTGAGAGTGAATGTAATTCCTGTTCATCATGTTCAGTTTGTACACTGCAAATTAAAATGTTCCTTGAATATTTATGCACATTACATATTTTTATGTAAATGGAATAACATTATTATTTAAATATTATAACAAAGTGGTAATTATCCCAACATTGGGATATGCATAGGCACTTGAGGAACTCATACGCTTGTGTAAGCCTCATTAACACTACAAAAGTGTCAGTGCTCAACCTTAGCAGGTGATGACAATACAATAGAACAGATTAACCGGAATGACATATACACTCACGGGTGGCCGAACATAACTATCTGAAAGCCACAACCCTACTAAACCATGCCTCCAGTCTTCAAAGAAAACAACACAACTAAGTGACCCAACTGGCTGGGTCAAAATAACCCAATATATGTTCTGTCCACGATTTACACAGTGTGCAAATTAATTGAATAGTGTGCAATTTAATTGGCTACAATGGGAAAACACAGTGCCCCTAGCCTAGTTAGAAGACAAGAAGGTTTAGATGTGCTGTGTCCGTCATGGCTTAATCATTCCTACCTTCTATCTATATTATTTCATGCAGTTCACTTCACTTGCACCTCAAGGCTCAGTACAGAACACCATCGAGTTATGAAACACTTACCTTCCCACCCCTTTCCCTCTCTCTTTCTCCCGTCTATCTCTTTCTCTTTCACTCAAAGCCGTGTGGAGGTGCGTCTGGGCGAGCACAACATTGCCAGGACTGAGGGTAGCGAGCAGTTCATCTCTTCTTCCCGCGTCATCCCCCACCCCAACTACAGCTCCTACAACATCAACAATGACATCATGCTGATCAAGCTGAGCAAGCCCGCCACCCTCAACACCTACGTGCAGCCTGTTGCTCTGCCCACCAGCTGTGCCCCCGCTGGCACCATGTGTGTCATCTCTGGATGGGAAAACACCATGAGCTCCAGTGAGTACAGCACCAACGTCAATACTTTCATGTATTTTGGGGCTAGGTTATAAAATATACTTGGTCTGGTAACCATTGCCAGTGTTCAGATGTAAATGATACATAATTGCGCTGGATTCCTGGAGGGAGGCAAGGACTCTTGCCAGGGACTGAACAGCACTGACCTGTAGAGGCTAGTCCTGCTCTACTACTGCCTCTGACCAGCTTATCAAAACTATTAGGACCAAAAATACAGTACAGAGAAACAGTGAAGTAAATCTCTCATTCTCTCTCTCTCAGGGTGACTCCGGTGGCCCTGTGGTGTGCAACGGTGAGCTGCAGGGTGTTGTGTCCTGGGGATATGGCTGTGCCGAGCCCAGTAACCCTGGTGTCTACGCCAAGGTAAGAATATAGGCTTCTGCTGCTAAGTTTGTGGGATAAAGCATCATGTAGTTTCAAATAAATACTATAATGGGTTTGTGACAGCATTCCTTTATTAGACCACTGGTTCATCCCTGTCACAACTACATGTTTCTAACTTCAATAATACCAACTTTATCCCAGGTCTACAGTAACTTGGCCCTGTGTCTACTGATGTCTCCCTTCTCCTTCTCTTCCTCCAGGTGTGCATTTTCAACAACTGGCTGACCAGCAACATGGCTCATTACGCTCAAATCGAAAAATAATTAAACAAAATAATGAAGATTTCTATCATCCTACTCGAGTTATAAATTACATCTCACATTCCAGTGTTCAAACTTGTAAACAAGGCTGCATGGAATTTCTGTTAATGTGACTCCGTGCAGCCAATGGCAACGTCCGCTTTAGATATAAGGCCGGGAGCCACTTGGCTGGGTGGATTTGACAGCTTTAATGCAGTTTTACCTCCAACAACACCAAAACAACCAACCGCTATGCGGATGTCTGCTAAAGCGGATCTGATTGAATAGAGCCCTTAACCTTTTTACTATATGACTATGTTTTTAAGTTGTAGGTAAAATTGGTTACAAGAATGCTATTGTAAGAGTGATTACCATTGGCGTTGATTATCATTGATTAGAAATGCCTGACCTGTGTCTATAAATTCCTGTCTGTCACGTGAACTGATTGAGATGGTGGTTGTTTATGGAGATTAAAGTCATGTTTTATATCGCTCCTGTATGCTGCCTCTGTCTGGTCTTAACTTTCTTTATAGTTGACGTTCCAGTCTTCGAACCCCCTAAATGGCGCGTTACACTATTGAACACATACACAACACTATGTGTTCAATAGCATACTGTAGCAGCAATATAAAATGTGTATACAAAAGACTCTCTCCACTGAATATATAGTTATTTTTGATTTATTGGAGAAAATACATAGTTGTAATACTTTTTATGCATCAAGTGATCCCTTCTCTCAGACATTTACCTCCACGCAACTACCTCATCGCCATATTGTTATTTATTTTGCTCATTTGCACCCCAGTATCTCTATTTGCACATCATCTTCTGCACATCTATCACTCCAGTGTTAATACTAAATTGTAATTATTTTGCACTATGGCCTATTTATTGTCTTACCTCCATAACTTACTACATTTGCACACACACTGTATATAGATTTTCTATTGTGTTATTGTGATGAGGTGGTGTTGAAGGAGTCAGGCGCAGGAGGGTAAATCACAGAATAACAGGCTTTAATCCACAAAATACTGGTTTACGTAGAAATGCGTCAAACACTCTCCAGGGCACAAAACAGGCGCACTGGAAAATACAAGGCACACAGGAAATACTCCCGTCGATACACAATACACGAGCTCCACCAAGCTTCACTAACCTCCACAATAAACAATCACCCACACAGACAAGGAAGCAGAGGGAACACTTATACAATGACTAATGAGGGAATAAGGACCAGGTGTGTGTGATTGAAGACAAGACAAATGGATCGGCAGTAGCTAGTAAGCCGGTGACGGCGAACGCCGAAACCTGCCCGAACAAGTCGTGACAGTACCCCCCCCCCCTTGACGCGCGGCTCCAGCTGCGCGCCGACCCCGGCGATGGCCAGGAGGACACGGAGCAGGGCGAGCCGGATGGCGATGGTGGAAATCCCGTAACATGGAGGGATCGAGGATATCCCTCACCGGGACCCAGCACCGTTCCGCCGGACCGGACCGTACCCCTCCCACTCCACGAGGTACTGAAGGCCCCCCACCCAACGCCTCGAATCCAGGATGGAACGGACAGAGTACACCGGGGCCCCCTCAATGTCCAGAAGAGGTGGAGGGACCTCCCGCACCTCAGACTTCTGGAGCGGACCAGCTACCACCGGCCTGAGGACAGACACATGAAACGAGGGGTTAATACGGTAATCAGGGGGAAGTAATAACCTGTAAGTGCCCGGATGTACTCCAGGTTACAGTGGTCAATCCAGACGAGGAAAGGGTGTCTTGCCCCCTCGAGCCAATGCCTCCACACGGTCAAGGTTCGGACAACAGCCAACAGCTCCCGATCACCAATGCCGTAGTTCTGCGCCGCCGGGCTGAGCTTCTTCGAGAAGAACGCACAGGGGCGGAGCTTGGGTGGCGTATTTGAGCGTTGAGACAGGACAGCTCCTATCACAACCTCGGACGCATCCACCTCCACTAAGAACAGTAGTGATGAATCGGGGTGGGCCAGTACTGGGGCTGAGGTGAACAGACCCCGCTGTTTGCTGAAGGCCAGGTCAGCCTCAGCAGACCAGCGAAGCCGGGACGGCCCACCCTTCAACAGGGAGGTAATGGGAGCTGCGACCTTGCCAAAGCCCCGGATAAACCTCCGATAGTAGTTGGCAAAGCCAAGGAAACGCTGCACATCCTTAACCGTGGTTGGAGTCGGCTAATTACGCACGGCTGAAATGCGATCTCCCTCCATCTCCACACCTGAGGTGGAAATGTGGTATCCAAGGAAGGAGACGGACTGCTGGAAAAACATACACTTCTCTGCCTTAGCATAAAGGTCATTTTCCAACAGTCGGGCCAGCACCTTGCGAACCAGGGACACATGCTCGGCGCGCGTAGCGGAATACACCAGGATGTCAGCGATGTAGACCACTACACCGCGACCAAGCATGTCCTGAAACACCTCGTTCACAAAGGACTGGAAAACTGAGGGAGCATTCATCAAACCATAGGGCATCACCAGGTATTCATAATGCCCCGTGTCACCTGCGTTTTAGAGAACGCTTGCGACAGATCGAGGTATTCAGGGGGAATGCGCACGGTGGAGGTACTGTCTGGACTTTCCTCCATGGTTGCACCAATGGAAACACATAGACACCTACCCTGACACTCTCGCGACCACCCCGTGAGAACCCTCTGCGGCCATGAGAAGGTGGGGTTGTGGAGTGCTAGCCAAGGGATACCTAATACCATAGGGAAAGCAGGAGACTCAATAATGGAAAAAGTAACCTGCTCACAATGAGTCTGCTGGGTAATCATGGTGACTGGTGCAGTAACTTCCCCCCTCCTCCGCACACTCCGCACACTCCACTGGCTTCCAATTGAAGCTCGCTGCGGCCATGAGAAGGTGGGGTTGTGGAGTGCTAGCCAAGGGATACCTAATACCATAGGGAAAGCAGGAGACTCAATAATGGAAAAAGTAACCTGCTCACAATGAGTCTGCTGGGTAATCATGGTGACTGGTGCAGTAACTTCCCCCCTCCTCCGCACACTCCACTGGCTTCCAATTGAAGCTCGCATCCGCTACAAGACCATGGTGCTTGCCTTTGGAGCAGTGAGGGGAACGGCACCCCTGTACCTTCAGGCTCTGATCAGTCCCTACACCCAAACGAGGACATTGCGTTCATCCACCTCTGGCCTGCTGGCTCCCCTTCCTCTGCGGAAGCACAGCTCCCGCTCAGCCCAGTCAAAACTGTTCGCTGCTCTGGCACCCCAATGGTGGAACAAGCTCCCTCACGACGCCAGGACAGCGGAGTCACTCACCACCTTCCGGAGACATTTGAAACCCCACCTCTTTAAGGAATACCTGGGATAGGCTAAAGTATTCCTTCTAACCCCCCCCCCCAAATTGTAAAGTGGTTATCCCACTGGCTATAGGGTGAACGCACCAATTTGTGAGTCGCTCTGGCTAAGAGCGTCTGCTAAATGACGTTAATGTGCCCTTGAGCAAGGCACTTAACCCTAATTGCTCCTGTAAGTCGCTCTGGTTAAGAGCGTCTGCTAAATGACTAAAATCTAATCTAAATCTTAACCAACCCGGACCCTAATGGTCGACTATCAAGTGCTCTGATGGGGCGTGGAATGGATAGGGGAATCAATGGAATGCCCGTACGGTGTGCGAATACCCTGTCCATAAAGTTCCCAGCTGCGCCTGAATCGACTAGCGCCTTACACTGGGTAACTACCATGTGCTCAGGAAAGGAGACAAATGTTTTGCAGTGCGCAGCAGAGGGCTCTGAACGAGTGTGGGTGTTCGATACCTGGGGTGATGTGAGAGTGCCCTGCCTGCCGCCTCCAAACCCAGAAGAGCGTTGACGACAATGTGTGGTGAAATGTCCCTTCGCGCCACCAGTGTGGCACTGGCGCTGTCGTCCTCCGCTCTCTCGGCTAGCGGTTCCACCCATCTCCATTGGTTCTGGATCCGATTCGGCCGGGATGGAAATGGGCAGATCTCCTCCAGGACGTCCTCTGGTTGCCAGCAGGTTGTCCAAACGAATGGCCATGTCCACCAGTTGCGAGAAGGACAACATGGTGTCAAGGCAGGCTAGCTCCCGTCGGACGTCCTCTCACAGATGGCACCAGAACTGGTCGATCAGGGCCCGCTCGTTCCACCCGGACCCAGAGTTCGAAACTCCAATGCGAAGTCCTGCGCAGTCCTCGTCCCCTGCCTCAGGTGGACCAGTCGCTCGCCCGCCTCTCGACCCTCGACCGCCCGGAAGAGGCGAGCGAACTCCCCGTAGTTCTCCATGCGGCTCCTCCTTCGTTCCACACTGCGTTGGCCCACTCCAGGGCTTTCCCCGAGAGGCAGGATGCTGGAGAAGTAGAGCTCCAGTTGGAGAAGGAATCCTTGGCAAAGCGCCGCTGTCCCGTCGAACTCCCGTGTTCGGGATATCTGGATCCCTCTGGGTGCTGGGGTGTAGGTGGCGGGATCCGGTTGACCAGCTGGTCTCGACGGATCGGGCTCTCTCCTCTCCAGGCGTTGGACGACCTGAAGAACCCGACCCATCGCTTCACTCAAGCTGGCTAGCATAGTTGAATGCTCCTGGACCCGTTCTATGACTCCAGGCATGCGCGTCTCTCCCGCTGACTCCATAACGGGTGGGTGATTCTGTGATGAGGTGGTGTTGAAGGAGTCAGGTGCAGGAGGGTAAATCACAGAATAACAGGCTTTAATCCGCAAAATACAAGTTTACGCAGAAATGCGTCAAACACACTCCAGGGCACAAAACAGGCGCACTGGAAAATACAAGGCACACAGGAAATACTCCCATCGATACAAAATACACGAGCTCCACCGAGCTTCACTAACCTCCACAATAAACAATCACCCACACAGACAAGGAAGCAGAGGGAACACTTATACCATGACTAATGAGGGAATAAGGACCAGGTGTGTGTGATTGAAGACAAGACAAATGGAGTGATGATAAATGGATCGGCAGTAGCTAGTAAGCCGGTGACGCCGAACGCCGGAACCTGCCCGAACAAGGAGGGGAGGCAGCCTCGGCGGAAGTCGTGACAGTTATTGACTATACGTTTTGTTTATTCCATATGTAACTCTGTGTTGTTGTTGTTTTTATCGAACTGCTTTGCTTTATCTTGGCCAGGTCGCAGTTGTAAACGAGAACTTGTTCTCAACTGGCTTACCTGGTTAAACAAAGGTTAAATAAAACAAAAAAATATTTTTAGAAATTACGGAAGCATAACCCCATAAAACACATAACTAATGTTGCCACTTATGGATTCATGGAAAATGTGAATATGTCTATGACGTTTCCAATATAAAGATGTTTGTAGTGAGAAATAATTCATCTTAACGGTTTACAAGGTTAAAGGGATAGTTCACCCAAATTAAGAATGAACATAATCCTAATGATTTATAGAGAGAGTAGTCTGTGCAGTGAGAGAATCTGTACTCTGTGGAGCCAGAGAATCAGCAACCCAAGTTTTGTTTGATTTGCTCCCACTTAGCATATTTGATAGCCAAAAATAAATGGGACTGGTAGAACCCCCTGTTAACATGCTCTAATTGGCCAACTGAAGATCAATACTTTCTTGACATTATCAGCATACATTGTGTATTCGGACTTATCCTTTAGAGTTTATTGAAGCCTTAAAACTACCTACAGTACATTAGAACTGCTTAAGCTGTTATAATTACAGCATTTTTAAACCAACACAAATGTAGACATTCCACTTGCAAACAACACTCCTTTGAGAATACAGAACAATATTGCCACTAATCTGATATATGCTCTATGCGCTGCATTAAACCATTGTTTATAAAAGAAGACTGGAGTGAGAAATTGGGGCTCGTGGGCCGGAACGCAACCCCCCAAGGGAGGCCCCCATTGCTTTTGAAAACCAAAAAAAGGGAACTGGTGTTTTTTTTAATGCTCTAATTTGGAAAATGAAGTTTTTAAACAGAACTTGTTTTCGGCTTACCTTTAAAGTTTATTAGTTTTAAAATACAAGTACTTTAAACCTTAACTTTATTTTCACTTTTTAAAACCAACAAAATGTAGACTTCCAAAAAAATTTTTTGGTAAGAAAAAAAATTTAACTAAGGAAATATAGTCAAAAATTGAATGAAAAAAATTCCTTTTTAATTTTATAAACCTTGGGAAAAGGACAGAAATTAAAATTTTTTTTGTTTTCCTTAGATTTTCTCCAAAATAATGGATGGAACTAACAGATTGGAATTGGGGACCTTTTTTCTGAAACCAAGTAGGATACTTAGGGGGATGGGCTTCACCAGTTTAAAGAAACGTAAGGAAAAAAGGGGCTTTTTAACACCAATGGGGAAAGGGCCAACATGAAAACCATCAATATTTTTATGATAATTCTTCGGGAAAAAAAGGGATTCACAGTATATAAATTTTGATTTCCTTAAAACCGGGGAAAATTTTTTTGTTAGGGGAGCATTAGGGTCCCAGCCTAAGGGGAAACAACCCCCAAAAAGAGGGGGGCCCCCCGGGCCCCCGGGGGACCGAAGAGGAAAAGTAGTGAATTTAAAGAGGGAAGAGAAGAAAAGGGGAGAAGGAGAGGGAAAAGGAGAAGGGAGAGAGAAAAAAGAAGAAAGAAGGGGAGGGAAGGGAAAAAAAAGAAATTTTTTTAAAAAAGCAATTTTTTTGGTACCCTGAAGGAGGGGCCCAAGGGGTAAAAGGAAAACCCCCTGGCAAAGCCCCCTTGAAAATGGGGGAAATTTGAAACAGAAGGGTGGGGTAGGGGGAGGAGTTTGGAAGATTGAAGAGGGGGAAGGGGATTAGAAGAGGAAGAATTGTTAAGCAAGCTCAGACTGTAAGAGGGGGATAGAGAGAGAGTGAGGATGGAGAGGAGAGAGAGAGAGAGAGAGAAGAGAGAGAGAGAGAGAAGGAGAGAGGAGATGAGAGGATAGAGAGAGAGGAGAGAGAGAGCGCATCGGAGGAGGGAGGCAAGAGAAGGGAGAAATCAGATGTTGAGAGGAGGAGGGTTATGGTTAGATATAATGACATTATGTTTTTAACAGTAGGCCTACATTTTCAATGCCTGTAAACACACTCAGTCACCATGAAGATGACCAACTGGCACATGTAACCTTTGACCCAGGTTCTGTACTCCTGGAGCTCATGGTGTTGCCCAATCCAGAAAAGAAACGGTGCACATGTGCCAGCGGGGGCACAGTGCTGGGCAGAGCAACAGGCTGCACGTAGGAGTTGAGGGTGGCGGGCTTGCTCAGCTTGATCAGCATGATGTCATTGTCGATGTTGTAGGAGCTGTAGTTGGGGTGACGGATCACACTGGAGGAAGAGATGAACTGCTCGCTACCCTCAGTCACCTTGATGTTGTGCTCGCCCAGACGCACCTCCACACGGCTGAAAGAGACAGAGAGACAGTTCATGTGAATGTGGAGTTCTCTTGTCTCCTTTAGTTTTGCAAAAGGTAAGCTTATCAAATTGTTGCTAGTTGTTTTTGACTCAATATGTTGCTAGTAGTTCACATGGTAGGCTACTTACGACTTGTAGCAGTGAGCAGCAGACACAACCCAGTTCTCGTTGACCAGGGAGCCACCACAGAAGTGGTACCCAACGTTCAGAGACACCTGGTGGGGCTGGGAGTAGGCCTTGCACTCATACCCTCCGACGATCTTGTCGTCCTCCGTGGCGACTAGAAACAGAGAGCAGGCACATTCTTAGCTATATTACCTCACCTTTTGAGATGGAAAAGCATAGCACTATGATAAAACAACAACAACAACATATTTCTTAATAACGTCAAAGAAACAAATGTGTGATGTTAGTGTCATAACACAGTCCTGTTCTTTTTTCTATGATCATTACTAGACTCACAAGCGGCTCCAATGAGCAGAACAAAGAACAGAGAAATCATGGTTGCTGTATGATCCTGTTGATGAAAGGGGTTAATCTGCACCCCTGGTTTATATACAGAATCGGCTGTGCCGCTGTTTGATTGGTCAAAAGAAAGCCAATCAGAGCCAAAAGTTGCACTGCCAAGGTCAGCATTATGACACAGCAGTTTCCATCATGGAGTGGTATGAAGTTGACCCTAAAGTCAGCATAAAGTTAAATATATACGTTTTCATTAGTACCAGTACTTTTAAGTGCAGGTTCTTGCCGTCTGGATTTGATTGAATTTCTTACAGATGAAAGTGATACATGTACAGTATGCTACAACTGCCAGTTTGAGATTACCAGTATTCTCTGCAGTTCAGACTGTATCTTGACCTCAAAAGGACTGCAACACAGCTGTGTGGTTCACACATTGGTGTTCTCTTGGAGAAGTCGACAAACACAGCTTTGCAGCTCACAAGGCCAATTTTAGCTTTGTAAACAAGTAAACTGGGTTTAAGGGGTTTTGTTGGAAAGTCATACAAAGCTGTCGAAAAATAGACTTACATGGCCTTACATGGCCATGAGTTCATTGCATAAGTTGAATAATCATAAGGTCCTCCAAAAATCATTATAATGAATGCAGTTCATATATAGTAAAACACTCCTAATCACACTCTTGGGTAGTGTAATTAATTATATTAGGTATTAACAGAAGATTCAAATAAACAGTTGTACCTTGACAGTAGATTAAAGTCTACACCACAGCTCAACCCTAACATTACCCATAACCCTCAACCCTAACCCTACCTTCATGTCCATGTCCCATCTCAACCTGAACCCTAGCTTCTCCTCCACATCCCTGCTCAACCCAAACTCTAACCCTCAACCCTAAAAAGTGTTGATAGGGGACAGAATGCGGTCGGACCATCATATAATTGGCATATACATTACTCTTACTGAATTTCCACGTGGGCGAGGATATTGGAAATGTAATCAAAGCCTATTGGATGATAATTTATTTTTAACTAGGACAAAGGAATTTATAACTGACTTCTTCCGACATAACATAGGTACAGCAAATCCCCTTATTGTATGGGACACCTTTAAATGTGCCTTTAGAGGCCATGCAATTCAGTACTCATCTCGAAAACAAAAGCAATTTAGGTCAAAAGAGTTTATACTAACAAAGGAAATAGAAAGTCTAACAGAACAGATAGATGGCAATAAAAACTGTAACATAGAGGCTCATAATAAATTAGAGGAAAAACAAAAAGAAATGGAGAAACCTATTCAAGAAAGATCAAGTGTAATATATTATATAAATAAAGCAAACTGGATGGAATATGGGGAAAAATGCACCAAATTCTTTTTTAATCTTCAACATAGGAATGCTACCAACAATAATTTAATGAAACTGGTTACAATTGACGGAGTAACCCATGATTCACCAAATTATATTTTGAAGGAGGAAACAAGGTACTTTAAGCATATGTTTTCGTTTCAGTCGCCTCCATCTCCTCTAACTGAAGCTAATTGTAGAGATTTTTTTTCTATTGATAATGTAAAATTAACAGCCACACAGAAAGACTCATGTGAAGGTGAAATTACAGAGGAGGAACTTCTGGATGCAATTAAATACTTTAAGTCTGGGAAAACTCCAGGGTTGGATGGCATACCAGTCGAAGTATACCAAACCTTTTTTGATATACTAAGAGGACCGTTATTAGCATGTTTTAACCACTCCTATGTAAATGGTAGATTATCTGACACTCAAGAAGAAGATCTCATTATTACTGAAACAGGACACAAGTGGAAAATATAAAGATCCAGTCCATTTACAAAATTGGAGGCCCCTTACACTTCAGTGTTGTGATGCAAACATTCTAGCAAAATGTATAGCGCATAGAATTAAAATGGTATTGTCGGATATTATTCATTCTAATCAGACAGGTTTTTTACATGGAAGATACATTGGAGATAATATAAGGCAAGTATTGGAAACAATAGAACATTATGGAAAATCTGAGAAACCAGGCCTGCTATTCATAGCAGACTTCGAAAAGGCATTTGATAAAGTACGACTGGGGTTTATATATAAATGCCTGGAGCATTTCAATTTTGAAGAATCTCTTATAAAATGGGTCAAAATCATGTATAGTAACCCTAGGTGTAAAATAGTAAATAATGGCTATTTCTCAGAAAGTTTTAAACTGTCAAGAGGAGTGAAACAAGGTTGTCCACTATCGGCATATCTATTTATTGTGGCCATCGAGATGTTAGCTATTAAAATCAGATCCAACAATAATATCAGGGGATTCGAAATCCAGGGCTTAAAAACAAAGGTATCATTGTACGCTGATGATTCATGTTTTCTTTTAAATCCACAACTAGAATCACTCCACAGCCTCATAGAGGATCTAGATACATTTTCTAACCTCTCTGGATTACAACCAAATTATGACAAATGTACTATATTACGTATTGGATCAATAAAAAATACAATTTTTACATTGCCATGTAGTTTACCAATAAAATGGTCTGATGGTGATGTGGATATACTCGGAATACATATCCCAAAGGAAATAAATGATCTCACTTCAATAAATTATAATAGAATGTTAGCAAAAATAGATAAGATCTTGCTACCATGGAAAGGTGGGTGCCTGTCAATTTGTGGAAAAATCACCCTGATTAACTCTTTAGGATTATCCCAGTTTCCTATTTGCTTATGGTCTTGCCTACGCCTAGCGAACAGTTTTCTAAATTATATGAGAAAAAAATATTCAATTTTATTTGGAACAGCAAGCCAGACAAAATTAAACGGGCCTATTTATATAATAAATATGAATTCGGAGGACAGAAATTATTAAATATTAAAGCATTAGACCTATCACTGAAAGCTTCAGTCATACAAAAGTTATACTTAAATCAGAACTGGTTCTCTAGCAAATTAATAAGATTGTCTCAACCAATGTTCAAGAATGGCCTTTTTCCCTTTATTCAGATTACAAACACTCACTTTCAGTTATTTGAAAAGGAAATAATCTCCCAGATATCACTATTTCTAAAACAAGCCATAGAAAGTTGGTTGCAATTTCAATTTAATCCTCCAGAAACGACAGAACAAATAATGCAACAAATATTGTGGTTAAACTTTTTTTTTGACAAAATCTTTAAAAAAGGTATAATCTTTGTAAATGATATCATCGGTAGGACTGGTGGAGTTATGTCGCACATGCAGCTAACAAAAACATATGGAAATGTCTGCTCTACCCAAAATTACAACCAAATATTTGCAGCCTTACCGCAAAAATGGAAGAGGAAAGTGGAAGGAGGAGAAAGTAAGGAACTTGTCTGTCGGCCTTGCATTAAAGAACATAATTGGTTAAGGAAAACTGTGATAAATAAAAAAGTATATCAGTTTCATTTAAGGACCAAAGGATTGACAGCCGTCCCATATAGATTGCAAAATAGTTGGGAAGAGATTTTTGACGTACTGATCCCATGGCATAGTGTTTATGAACTGATGACTGCATGGCCAGGCACGACTCCAACACCATCATTAAGTTTGCCGACGACACAACAGTGGTAGGCCTGATCACCGACAACGATGAGACAGCCTATATGGAGGAGGTCAGAGACCTGGCCGTGTGGTGCCAGGACAACAACCTCTCCCTCAACGTGACCAAGACAAAGGAGATGATTGTGGACTACAGGAAAAAAAAGAGGACTGAGCACGCCCCCATTCTCATCGATGGGCTGTAGTGGAACAGGTTGAGAGCTTCAAGTTCCTTGGTGTCCACATCACCAACGAACTATCATGGTCCAAACACACCAAGACAGTCGTGAAGAGGGCACGACAAAGCCTATTCCCCCTCAGGAGACTGAAAAGATTTGGCATGGGTCCTCAGATCCTCAAAAAATTCTACAGCTGCACCATCGAGAGCATCCTGACTGGTTGCATCACCACCTGGTATGGCAACTGCTTGGCCTCCGACCGCAAGGCACTACAGAGGGTAGTGCGTACGGCCCAGTACATCACTGGGGCCAAGCTTCCTGCCATCCAGGACCTCTATACCAGGCGGTGTCAGAGGAAGTCCCTCAAAATTGTCAAAGACTCCAGCCACCCTAGTCATAGACTGTTCTCTCTGCTACCGCACGGCAAGCGGTACCGGAGTGCCAAGTCTAGGTCCAAAAGACTTCTCAACAGCTTCTACCCCCAAGCCATAAGACTCCTGAACAGCTAATCATGGCTACCCGGACTATTTGCACTGCCCCCCCACCCCATCCTTTTTACGCTGCTGCTACTCTGTTAATTATTTATGCATAGTCACTTTAACTCTACCCACATGTACATATTACCTCAACTACCTCAACTAGCCGGTGCCCCCGCACATTGACTCTGCAACGGTACCCCCCTGTATATATAGCCTCCCTACTGTTATTTTATTTTACTTCTGCTCTTTTTTTTCTCAACACTTTTTTTGTAGTTGTTTTATTTTTACTTTTTTTGTTAAAAATAAATGCACTGTTGGTTAAGGGCTGTAAGTAAGCATTTCACTGTGATGTCTGCACCTGTTGTATTCGGCGCATGTGACCAATACAATTTGATTTGATTTGATTTGATATGCAAAACGACACCGGATTCAAAACTTTTTTTATTTTTTTGTAATTGTTTTTTTTGGGGGGGGGGGGGGGATGGATCAGCTTAATATTGCAGATAGATTGTATCTTCTATCAATGTAATTGTCTGCATCACTTCCAATCCCCCATGTTTTTTATATATATATACTCCCCTTTATTACTTTTCAACCCCGCCATCCTTTCCCTACTTGGAGTAAATTAGTGAACAACAATGCCCAGGCCTCTACTTCCGGTCTATACTTACTATCTACACCTTATGGACACAGTTAATTCTACAATGATTCTATTATATATATATATATATTATTTATTTTTTTGCTCCTGAACTTCTTCTACTCTCAACCTCTCCGGTCATTTTCATGATGTCCATCCGGTTTGCTTCTATATGCCATA